TACACACACACACACACACATATATATACATATATACATACATACATATATATACATATATATATACATATATATATATATACACACACACACATACATACACACACACACACATGACCTTCAATATATCCCTCCTGAATTTAGAGACTACCTAAAGAATAGATTTGATGCATTGAACACCAGTGCCCAAAAACCAGAAGAATTGTGGGATAACATCAAGAATGTCATCCATGAAGAGAGCAAGAGGTCATTAAAAAGACAAGAAAGGAAGAAAAGACCAAAAAGGATGTCAGAAGAGACTCTGAAACTTGCCCTTGAGTGGAGAGTAGGTAAAGAAAATGGAAGAAATGACAAGATAAAAAAGCTGAACAGAATGTTTCAAAGAGCAGCTCGAGCAGACAAAGCCAATTACTATAATGAAATGTGCAAAGACCTGGAGTTAGAAAACCAAAAGGGAAGAACATCCTCGGTATTTCTCAAGCTGAAAGAACTGAGGAAAAAATTTAAGCCTCAAGCATAATATTCTCTGGGCAAAATACTGAATGATGCAGGAAGCATCAAAAGAAGATGGAAGAAATACACAGAGTCACTATACCAAAAGAAACTGGTCAATCTACATCCATTTCAGGAGGTGGGATATGATCTAGAACCAGTGGTATTGAAGGAAGAAGCCGAAGCTGCCCTGAAGGAATCGGCGAAGAAGGAGTCTCCAGGAATTGACAGAATACCCACTGAGATGTTTCAACAAATGGATGCCCCGCTGGAGGCACTCATTCAGCTATGTCAAGTGATATGGAAGACAGCTATCTGGCCAACTGACTGGAAGAGATCCATATTTCTACCTATTCCAAAGAAGGGTGATCCTACAGAATGTGGAAATTATCAAACAATATCATTAATATCGCATGCAAGTAAGATCTTACTGAGGATAATTCAAAAACAATTGCAGCAGTATATTGACAGAACAATTCCAGAAATGCAAGCTGGACTCAGAAGAGGACATGGAACGAGAGATATCATTGCTGATGTCAAATGGATCTTGACTGAAAGCAAAGAATACCAGAAAGATGTTTACTTGTGTTTTATTGACTATGCAAAGCATTTGATTGTGTGGATCATGACAAATTATGGGTAACATTGAGAAGAATGGGAATTCCAGAACACTTAATTATACTCACAAGGAACCTGTACATAGACCAGGAGGCTGTCATTCAAAAAGAAAAAGGGGACACTGCATGGTTTAAAATCAAGAAGGGAGTGTGTCAGGGTTGTATCCTTTCACCATACTTATTCGATCTGTATGCTGAACAAATAATCCGAGAAGCTGGACTATATGAAGAAGAACATGGTCAGGATTGGAGGAGGAATCATGAAGAACCTGCGATACACAGATGACACAACTTTGCTTGGTGGAAGTGAGGATGGCTTGAAGCGCTTACTGATGAACACTGAAGACTGAAGAATACAGTCTGCAGTATGGATTACATCTCAATATAAAGAAAACAAAACTCCTCACAACTGGACCAGTAAGCAGTGTCATGATAAATGGAGAAAAGATTGAATTTTTCAAAGACTTCACATTGCTTTGTTCTGCAGTTGACACCAATGGAAGCAGCAGTCAGGAAATCAGACAATGTATAGCACTGGGCAAATCAGCTGCAAAGCACCTCTTTCAAGTGCTGAGGAGCAAAGATGTCTCCCTGAGGACTAAGGTGCACCTGACACAAGCCATGGATTTTCAGTCACCTCCTATGCATGTGAGAACTGGAGAGTGAATAAGGAAGACCAAAGAAGAATTGATGCTTTTGAGTTGTGGTGCTGGTGAAGAATACTGAAAGTACTATGGACTGCTGGACTGCTAAAAGAACTAACAAATCTGTCCTGGAAGAAGTGCAGCTGGAATGCTCCTTGGAAGCGAGAATGGCCAGACTTCCTCTCACCTACTTTGGTCGTGTTGTGAGAAGGGACCATTCCCTGGAGAAGGATATCATGCTTGGTAAGGTGGAGGGTCAACGAAAGAGGGGAAGGCCCTCAACGAGATGGATTGACACAGTGGCTGTGGCCATGGGCTTAAGCATAGAAAGGATTGTAGAGATGGTGTGGGATCAGGCAGTGTTTTGTTCTGGGCATGGGATCTCTATGAGTTGGAGATGACTCGACGGCAACTTACAACAACAACACTTACATGGACTTTATACAGTTCCACTAGATTCTTTTACCTGTAGTTGACTTCCGAAGACTATTTTAAAGGGCTGCATTTACTTAATACAGAGCTGTGGATAGCTTTCCTGGACATTTCCAGAATAAAAAGCACTTAAAGTGGCCTCTTTTCCACCATTTCAGTCTGTCACTGGCCAGGGAATATTTTCTCTGAAGTAAAGCACAATTTGTTGATCAATGGGGTAAGAGTAGAAAGTTGATTGACTGACAACTGGGGGAGTGAGTGGGTATGAACCGTGATGACTCATCTAATATTGATATCTTTGGTTGAAGTAAAACGCTGATACTCCTGCTAGTCTCTGAGACATGATTTCAATAACTCACTTTACAGAGCATATTAATTTTACCTATGTTGAGTTTGGAATTAAATAAATCTGAACTTGTAAGTAAGGAGCTCTGATGGCACCGTGGTTAGAGCACTCAGCTGTAATCTAAAGGTTGCCAGCCGCTCCACAGGAAACAGAGGAGGCAGTCTACTTCCGTAAAGATTGACAACCTGGGGAACTCCATGGGGCAGTTCTACTCTGTCCTGTAGGGTTTCTGTTAGTCGAATCAACTCAATGGCACTAGATTTGGGTGTTTTTCTGTTTTTAACTTCTGAGTAAAGGAGGGGCAGGAGGATCTACTTATCAACCTGCACTATCTGTTTTTCTTTAGGTTGGTACAGGGGCAACAGTGGCCACACTGGCTGATGCTTCGGAATTGCCGACCACAGTCACTGTGGCCCAAGTGAATTATTCTGCTGTAGCTGATGGCGAGGTAAGCACAACGTTCAGTCTGCATCTGTTTAAAAACTTACTTCAGTGCACAGGTGCAGGAGGAGAGAAGGCCAGAGGACAGACAGACTGTCAATTGTCTGCGTGCCTCCAGCATGCCTTTATTTTAACCATGACTGTTTTGTAAAGAATATTATGTTGTATATTAATTTTAACAATTGAAATCCATTGGTCATTATGATTCAGACCTGTCAGGAGTTACGTTATGTTTCTCATATAGCATCTTGTATACTACAAGCTAAAAAGGGGTTTTACGTTTAATACTTTTATGCTGTGAATCTCAAAAGAATTTTGTCTTTGGACTTTATGCAAAAACTTGATTCCTTAAAAGCAGAGCTGACTAGGGTAAATATGTTACAAAATAAATTTGTAGGCCTATAGACGTGATTTTTTACATGTTAAACATACTTTTGTGGGGTTGTTTTATTATTATTTTAAGAGCTTGTTTTACATTCAACGTCACGCATACATTTAGTTTCATTCCCCATTCGCCATGTCCAGCCCTAACCCAGTCTCCTCCCCTCCCTACCCTGCATCACTCCCCCTGTGCCCCTCATAATTAGGCACTCCTGTTTGTCCCGCATTTCCTCAGTTTGAATGTTGGTCCTTTGATGTCCCATGTCTGTTGCTTTAAGGGATGTATTACCATTGAGTGTGTGGGTGTGGCATCCTGGGTTAAGTCCTCTGTATGTACATCTTGTTCACTATTGGTCTGAGAGCCTGCCCCTGGGGGTGAGTTTTATTCCAGGCACAGAATGTGTTTCAGGGCCATAGTATTGGGATTCTCACCAGACTTCATCTTACCAGTAATTCTGGTCATTACTGAGTTTTTGGATTTTGTTCCACGAGGTTAAACATGCTTCTGGAAGCATTTTCAGGAGACCATTTCCCTACTAAAATAGAGGTAGCTATGGGACTTTGGGAGGGATTGTTGAATGGATGGAGAATTGGTTCAAACAATAAAAGGAAGAATAACTGACCTTTATTGAGCATTTACTGAACCAAACATTCAACCCTGTGAAATAGGTACTATTGCGTTCTCCGTTGAGGGACTTACTCAAGGTCACAGAGTTCAGTGTTAAAGCTGGGTAGCATGTTTGAAAAACATAACCCAGGCTCTGAGCTTTGAGTTCAGTTAAGATTCAGGAGCTCATTAAGTGACTAGACTTTTCCCCTAAAGACACTAGTGTGATAAACTCCCAAAGTTTGAAAAACAGCCAATAGACATTGAAGAGTAGTATCATAAATGAAGCTGAAAGTATTATCTCACCCTAGTTCAAAACCATGGAGCACTCCCACCTGGCACACCACGCGGTAACCTTCACTTGTGCCCTGTGGGGAAGGGCGAGAACTGACAGTGAAGGCGGCAGAGGGATGCTGGGCTTCTGGTCAACCAGCGCATACCGAGCCCTGCCGTGTGCAGGTGCTGTGCCAGCATCGGGAGTGGGTTTACCCGGGAACCTGCTCCCAGGAGTGCCCGTCCTGTATAAATGCAGGTGGACCTGAGAATTCATTCAAGACCGCCTTTGGTGTTGGTGATGTGTGATGTTTAATTGCACTGTATGTCAGAAGAGTCAAAATCTGAAATCGAATGGTATCTGATAATAAAGATATATGAAGTAATTGCTGTTAGAAGGAAAAAAAAAAACACCAAGATAAAAAGACATTAGAAGAGGCGGGGCAAGATGGCGGACTAGGCAGAAGGATTGCACAGACCCTCTTCAACAAAGAAAAGGGAAACCAATAAATACTGACACAGAAGATAATCTTGGACCCCTGAGCCTTGAAGGAAAGGATG